TTTATCATCAAATATGTTGCTCAGATTAACAGATATAATTATGTGTCTAAGTTACTCTTCCCTTGTTTCTGGCACAAATACCTGACATCCAAAATAAAGGAATGAAAGATTTATTCAGCTCACAGTTACTGGAAGTTTCAGTCCATACTCGGTTGGGTCCATGGCAGAGTGGCACAGGGCAACTGGCAGTAGTTCATGGTGGCGGTATAGAACAAGAAAGCAAACTCAAAAAATAGCAACAATGGCTACAGAGAGACAGTCTATCTCTCTGTCTCTCTTATATTCCATTCAGGCTATCCACCCCAGGTTGGGGGAATTACTCACACCATAATCCCAGCAGTACTCAGACCCATAATCCAAATGTTGATCACCGATAATCCCAATGGATCATGAGTTAATCTCAAACTCTTGAAGTCCCCACCCCATGACTGCGTGAAGCTGTGGGGGGACAACTAGATACAAAACATTATGCAAGGTTGGACACATGACTGAATATCACGGCATGCTTTCAAGAAATCTTAAATTTGTGTTCTTGTCTTCCTTTTTACTGATTTATTTATTTTTATTTTTTAATAATTTCATTGAGAAACAAAGAGAAATGAGACAGTTTCAAAACCAATTAGTAGGACAGTTTCAATAATTAATACATTGCATATTGTTGCCTTCTTAGTGGTTATTCATAGTACAAGATGCAGACATGACATCTTATCCAAACACTATTAGTATAAATCTTTCTACCCATTAAATTAAGAGAAAGTAGCTGCATTTCTATCCTATTTTGAATACACAGAAACAAAATGGTTGTCTTCCTTTTTTATTACCTTTTTCTAAAACATTTATTTTCATTAAAGACATTAATGAGAAACATTAGTATATTGTTGACTTTTGTCATATTCTTTTCTATTTTTGTTCCTACAACCATCTTGGCCTCAGAGAATGAGTTTGGAAAATCTCCCTCTCCCTTATGTTTTCAAAGAGTTTCAAAAGAATTTGTATTAATTTTTCTATAAATGTTTTGTAATATTCCCCAGGGAAGCTTTATTGTCCTGAACTTTTCTTTGATGCAAAATATTTTATTATGGAACTAGCTCATTCCTCATTACTGGTTTGTTCAGATATTCAGTTTCCTCATAATTCCTTCTTCAAAATATGTGTGTCTTAAGATTTGTGTGTTCTTCTAAGTACCAAATTTGTTTGAAAATAGATGTTCATAATAACTTCTGAAGATTCTTTACACATCTGTGACATCACTTGTGACATTTTTGTCTCTGATTTTATTTAATTTGAAACCTCCCCCCCTTCCTCTCTACCTCTCCCTCTCCCTCTCCTTGTTTGTGTGACTGTGTGTGTGTGGTTGTCTGTGTTTGTGTTTCTTTGGTGTGTTTGCATGTGTACCTCAATTCTGGCTATGGATTTTCAATTTTGTCCTTTTGAAAGAACCAGTTCCTTGTTTTAATGATATTTTTTGTATTGTTTTCAAATCTACTTCACTTATTTTTGGCTCTAGTTTTCATTTTTATTATAATTTCCTCAGCAGATTTGTACTTTATGAATTTCTTTGCAATTTCCATGTACTTATTGTTACTTATGAATTTCTAAGTCCCATAAAAAGAAATAGAATGAACAAAAATTGGAAATTATTTTTTTTTCTTTTTCTGGCTTTTATTAGTACATATTTTCACTAAATAATAATTCTCTCCAATTAAGGCACTATATGACACCCAGCTCAATATCATCATAGCCAGTTTCTTCTTGTCTCAAGGCCACTGGGGACACTGTCTCTTCTATGAAAGAGAGGGTGGCTTCTTGAGAGACTGAAGAGAGTTGCCTGAAATATTAAAGGACATTGTGGGTTTGAGGGATGGCAGAAGAATGGTGCATGGTGTGCCTGCAGAAGGAAAGATTAGTGTAGAAATGAGTGCTAGATACCTGTCTGGAGACAGGACTTGTCTAAAAGGCAAGACAAACCTGCCTCATACTGTCACTTTTTTAAGAGGGTCAGCAGTTGAGACTCGCTCTTGCTATTAAATTCAGCATGAAGTAGAACTCATTGTGTAGCACAGACCGGCCTTGAACTCACAGCAAGCCTAGTATCTGCCTGCCTAGGAAAGGAATTATAGGTGTGCACCATCAAGCCAGATTTCATACATTGTGTTGCCTGTTTTAAATAGACTCTTATCTTGATCTGAGTAATGGAAAAGAGGAGGGATAGTAGTGGCAAGGTAGGGAAAGAGACATCGGTGTTGTTTTCTACAGCAGGAAGGTATGATTCCTTAAGGAATGGACAGCAGATGACTCCTCAGTGTCTCACTAATAGAACATACTTGATCTCAAAGTATTCGTGAGAACAGCTGGAGTCCCCTTGCAAATGCTAAAAGAGAACAGTTCAACCTAATCCCATGATATCTTGCTCTTTATGGCAAGACATCTTTATACCCATAGTTGAGAATATGTGGCCTTATACATCAACTGAATAATGAAGAGAATTTGTCTCTTCCTCCAAGAAGAAATTTTATGATTCTCAAATTAAAGTCATTTCACACTGTGAATTAATTGTGCCCAATTTCAACTTCATAAACATGGTTATATCCTTCTTAAACACAATACTTATAGCTCATAGATGTAATTTACTTTACTACTAAAAAATTACAAATTCCTCACAATTTAAAAGAGACTATATAAATGGGGAATGAAATAAGAGCAAAAACACTGTTTCTGCAACTCATACTGTAGCAGAATCTCCCTGCCCACTCCATATAGAATAATTCAGTTGCCCAGCTGACAGTAGTGTTACAGGTTTAGTTGCTTCCATCTCTTAAAAAAGACTGGTCGTGGGCTGGCCAAATAGCTCAGTGGATTAAAGCACCTGCTTAATCCACAGGAGACACAGAGGTCATGAGTTCAATACTCAGCATGTTGTGCTGGTCCCATCCCCAGGACACACAGAGACAGTGTTAAACACTAGACATAATGGCCCATGCCTATAAACCCAGCACCTGGAAAGCTAAAAGCATGAGGGTTACCATGAGCCTGATCTGTGTAATGAGACCCTATAAATCCTGTACTACATTTTAAAAAACAAAAATGGCCACTCCATGCATAGCTGCAGACAATGATGCATTTTGTAAGAACAATTAAAGACAGCCAAGTACTCTCCTTCTCGCTTGCAGCCCCTTAAAACCTGCCTTCCTGAGCCTTTGGGGCCCCATATTTGGGAAATGATATTTATGTTGACATAAAATAAATATGCCACCAAATTCTAGGTGTCATTTCAGAATTTCTTCTTCCAATTACAATACAACATGTCTACATCTAATGTGTGGTGTGTATAACACAGACAATATAAACATTCTTTAAGAAAGGATAAAATAGCTACAACCAGGGATAGAAATGAGTGGGCATCATTGAAGTGCACAAGGGTATCCCAATTCTATTAGCAAAGGAATACTTATGATCAATGGGTTCAAAATCATCTTTTGCACAAATATAACTGGATTAGAGAAAGAATTGTCTACCCATCTGTCTGAAAATACCTGGCACCATCTCTTTCTTCTGGAACAAAGTTCCTCTCACTTCTCCCAAATGAAGAAGGAATTTCAGGAATAAGTATCTCTTCAACGTCATCATAACCACTGCCTGTGGAATCAACATGCAGCGCTGGAAGTTCTGAAAACAAAGATAAAGTGCAAAAGAAATCTATGTGTTGCATGAGGTCTTAAGTCATATCTAATGCAGAAATTGTAAATTAGGTTGTCCCAAAGTTGCACATTTGATCTTAATATTCTTACAAATTATGTAAATCTTCTAAATATTGCCATTTTTAAAATGAATAATTATTGAAATGTCCTCTCATACTGGAAAACAACAAAAATTCATTATGCTATGAGTTTTAGGTGATACTTCCAGGCTTATAGCACATGCCTGGGTGAGATCAGTACAAATCACTGGCTGAGGCACAATGAATGTGGACCAAAGAATTCCACCTACCATGTGCTCTCTGAGGTGGTGAAAGACACAGAGCAGTGAGGAGATGAAAACTTGGGCTTATATCACACAGACATGCATATCCACCAACCAAGTATGAATGACAACATCCATTACTACTGTACACCCTTAGAATCCCACACACTAAGAACGCTTCTGGTTATGTCCCCTCCTAGGAGCTGTCCATCTTTACCACTTGGAGAATATTGAGGGTAGTTATTCTTTGTCTCAGGTCCTTTGTAGAGAAAATCTCCTCCTAGGTAATAAGGATGGGACCTTGCATTTCATGTATTTGAAGGATTAACAAATATTTCACTCTCAATGCTCGCATAAACCACACAATGATTCAAACATCACTAGTTTAGAGTGAAAACCATTATTCTTAGTGTCATTCATGGCAAAGTTTTTGAGAGGTTTTTGTTCAAATTTCATTTTTTAAAACAGATTTTTCAATATAATAACACATCTTAGGTATGCTTGTGGCCCACTAGAAGTAGCTTTCGATATGAGAAGTAACTGCACTATTTCTTTCCCTAAGCTCTTAGAATAAGAAGATGGCAAAAAAAATTGTGGTTCAGACAAAAACGATGTTTCTGATCACAACCACAGCAGTATATTCTCCTCAAAGAGATGTCTCCTGCTCAACCTATCAGGCAAGAGAGGACATGGATTTGCTACCTGGGGCAGATTCATGATCTCCATCCTGCTCATTTTCTCCTGTGTAATAAAACAGCTTTGCTTGTGAGTCATCAGATACAGTTCCTGGTACGAGAAAACAAATCAGGTCAGGGGATAGCTGCATGGTCTAAGTGCCTGCCTGGAAATTGCAAGGACCTGATTTCAATCCGCAGGACTGCGTGCCATGCCTGGCTTTGGAAGTCTGGGCACTTGGTACTGGCCACTGAAACCAGGCACAGTGGTGCATGTCTGTAATCCCAGCACACAGGGGGCTAAGCAGGATGACCAGTACTAGTCCAAACTGCATAACAGGACTGTGTATCAAACAAATAAATAAATGAAAGATTTTATAAAAAGAAAAACAAATGAGACAGACACTTAGGATTGTGGGAGGATGGTTCAGAGAAAATCTTAAGGCTTTATACTTGTAGATAATACATTTGAAATTCCTCTCTTAGTAAGAGGCTGACCATGTACTGTGATCTAGTTTTCAACTATTATCCAGTGGCATGTGTGTGTACAGCTATGCCCTCAGTATTGTGCTGTACAAATGTGGCAGAAGCTTCAAGTGAGGTTGGTGGGTGGTTTTATGTTACTGGGGACACATGCTCACAAGGAGGTGCAACTTTGACCTTTCATTGACCTCTTTGCTTTCTGGAAATCATAATGTGAGAAACTTGTTCGACTATATACCTCACAGCAATGAGGCCATGTAGCCATGTAATGAAACATCTGAAGCTATAAGGCAAGATCAATATTTGTCCTTATAATTTGATTACCTCATGCATTATATTGTAGTAATGGAAAGACAATTAATACATCCTGTAAACTTGAGATAACAGTGGGTCTGTATTTGTTAAAGATATGCACACTGATGAGAAATTCATGAACAGAAAGGATGTGCAACACACCTGCTTTGTCCAGCAAATCCGTCTTCTCTGCCTTCACAAGGTACTCTATCTCTTGGTACAAGGCCTCATCAAAAGCATCTTCAGTGGTGAAGGCTGGAGAAATCAACATGTATTTATAGGCATATGTCTTACAACTAGAAAATCATTCTGTTTCCAAGTAATCCCCTTGGGGAAATCTCTGCACTGCCAGTATTCATTATTTAACTCTGTCATCTAAAGTGACATAAGTAGGTCTCATGACTCTAACTGTGTTATAGACAGTTCTACTGATATTTTTCAGTTACACTGTCATATTTGATAGCATATACACTAAATCCAAGTCCAAGCATTAAAGTCTTTTCAATCTTGAAGTTTATAATTCAGAAGATAATTTCTAAGAAAACAAGAAGTTAGTCATATCCACTTTTTTAAAAAGTCATAACTCATTCAGTCTTTCCCTACATACTTTCAAAATCAGCTTCTCCCTTAAACTCCACCTTGACGTCCTGCTCTCCATCTGCCCAGCTGCGTTCCCAAGATAATGAGCATCAGCACAAGAAGGATTCCCAGGATGATGCAGAGGATCTCATATAAGGAGAAGTTGCCAAGGACAGAGGCTGAGACTGTACTGGTACCTGAAAAGGAAAAATGACATTTAAAAAAGTCATAAACTCAGAGGAAAGCACTTATCTCAGTCCTCCACCAGCCCCAACTACAATGGATATACCTGCAGCCAAACATACCAACCCAGAACCCACACTAACCTGTGGCAACTATTGATTCAGTCTCACTCTAAGGGATTTCCCTAAGGCAATGCTGTTGAGCCATAGATGCCCTTTGCTGCTACAACTTAACAAATTCTATTGTTCCTAACATTTGATCACCAAGTCTACAGGAATTTTCTAAGTATGCCAGTATCCATAGTGAAGGTTGCTGAAAATCTGTACATCTCCTCTATTATAAGGCATAGAGCAAAAGAACCACTTACGTATAGGAGTGGAGAGAGCAGACTTTTTTTCACCTGATGAGAAGAGAGAGAAATTGGAGTTAGTGACCTTTGTTGACTGGGAAATAACCAGGTCACAACTACTATGGCTGCACATGTTTCTCTCCCACAAGTGAGGAGCTCACAGTGTAGCCTCTCAAGAGCCAAAGAATTAAGAAGAGGGCAGTCTAGGAAGGGCTCCTGGACACACAAACACACACACAAACACACACACACACACACACACACACACACACACACACTCCTACAGGCCCAGTCCATGCCCCTGACCCTACCACTCACCTGAGCACCTCACGCCTGCATCTTCTTCATGCTTGCAGTCACTCTGTCCCCAGGGATCCCTGGCACAGGCCCACAGGGAGGACTCCTGGCCCTGGCACTCCACATCATCCAGCCAGATGCTTCCATTTCCAGGGCCAAATGCAGCTTCTCCCAGGGCTTCCAGGGCAGGACCACAGCCCAGCTGCTGACACACCACCTCGGCCTCTGCCAGGCCCCAGGAGTCATCACACACTGTACCCCAGGAGCCTTCATGCCACACCTCCACTCTCCCTGAGCATTTGCTGTCACCACCCATGAGCCGCAGCTTGTCTCTGTCTGTAATGACAGCAAGATCTGCTCTTACTGCCCAGGTGGAGGGAAGGAGCAGCCTTCCCTGAGAAGTATGAAGGAGAAAGGGGGGTGAGATACCTGTGCAGGGGCCAGAGTCCGGACAGCTCTTGGGTCTTTGCCCTGCAGGAACAGAGTAGGGTAGCCTGGGTTAGGGAAGACTGGGCTGGTCCTAAAGCTCCCATGCTCAGGCTATATGAAAAAAAAAGTTAACAAATGCTTTTGTTTTATTCAACAGTCAAACATATGGAAGAAATTTTTCACTGACTTGCTTTGCATTTAAATTTGTTGTTAAGGGCTAGCAAGATAGCTCTGTGGACTAAGTGTCTACTTATGCAAGTACAGAGACAGAGTTCAATACCGGCACCACATGTCATGCAGGCCCCACCCACAGGTACACTGAGCTGGCCACCGAGAGCCAGCTTGGTGGTGTACACTGATAATTCCAGAACTGGGGAGTCTGAAACAGGAGCACTATGAGTCCAAGCTGCGTGGTAAGCAAATTTTAATTTTTTTTTAAATTTGCTGTTAAAATTCCTTGAAATATGTCACATAGTGTTAATAGGACATTCCATTTCTCCTGTCAAAGTACTCTTTCTGTCCATTGGTTGACTCAGCATAAGTCACCAAGTTTTTATCACTCTTTTTTAATGTTGTGAGGAATGGTTTGATAATTTTTCATTGCATAAAATATGCTGAAAATAATTCTGTTGAATTCTAGTTAATAAGTGGGATAAGGGAAATGTAAATTAATGTTGACAACTTGTAATATTAAACATTATTACATAACACAAAAGTAACTTGCATTCATTATTTCACATAATTTTTATGTAAAACTATGAACCAAGAATAACAGAATGATTTTTATATTATTTTGATTGTGAGTACATGAATTTTATTACTTTTTTCATTTTTTAACAGAATGATTTCTATTCTTTAACCAGAGTAGGAATGGGAGTCAGAGGATGATAGGTATGTAGGCAACAGCTAAGTTGAGCAAGAGAAACATTTGCTCAAAATTGAAAAGTACATATTCATTAAGTGTAAATAACACATGAGATGACACAAAAATAAAATAGAAAAAATTACAGAAAACTGAAATGCATAGAAATATATGTAAATGCAAAACAATACAGAGAGGCCTGTTCACCTGCTCCATGGATCCCTTTCCAGCAAGAGCCTAGGCCCTGTGTGTGTGTTGGGGATAGGAACCTGCCAATTCCTTGCCCACTCTCCAGATCCCTCTTCAGACAAAGCCTAAGCACAGCGTGTATGTGTGACCTTTCACCTGCTCACCATACCGCATTGCAGTCTGAACCCAGACCCATCATATGTGTGTGTGGGCTTCATTAAGTGCTCTCTGGATACCTTTTGAGCAAGGGCTCAGGACTGGTGTTTGTGGGTGACCATCTGTACACTCGCCTAAATCTCTTCCATCAGACAAGTCTGGTGTGGAACCCTGTGGCGAACTCGCTGCATAGAGGCTAGGGCCCAGACCCACCCAGCACATACAGGAGAGAAAGATCATGCCAGAGTGCTGTACTGGGTTTACTTTGATGGGCTGCAGCAGGAAGAAGCATAGCGCAGCAGCTAGACTTATGCCAAGCCCATGTGGATGAGTTTGAACTTGGTAGATCCAGACACAGTAAGAGGAGACACTGCTAGACTGTGATCTATGTGAGCATCCTCTCTTTCTCTCTTGATCAAGACAGGTGACAGCAGGTAACTGGGGTGAACTGGCCTGCCTGGAAGACCACAGGTACATCTAAGGGAGGTGATCAGACAGAACTTAGGGGAACTAATTTAAATACAGATTCCCAATTTAATATCTACTTTGCTACACAGACATAAAGTTTGCCTTCACGGTCTAAAATATAAACCCATTAGCTACAAAAAAAAACTCAACTGGTAAATATCACTAACCATTATTGGTGTTCTTAATTGTGGTTCTGTAAATACAAAACTAACTGCCTTAACCTCACAATCCCTCTTGGGTAATAATATTGGTACATGCTAAGGTAATAAATCCAAAAAAGCTCTACAAAAAAGGTCAGAGGACAGTGCTATACAAAATCACAAAGAGAAGGAGCAAATTAAAAACATTAGTGTCCCAAAATTTAAAGACCCAATTCAGAAATGGGCATCCAAGATGAAAGCACACTTATCACAGGATGAAATTAAAAAAGCAAATAAATATATGAAAAAATGCTCCATATCACTAGACATCCATGAAATACAAATTTAAACATCACTGAGATACCATCTTACCCCAGAAAGAATGGCTATCATAAACAAATCAACTAACAACAAATGTTGGAGAGGCTGTGGGGATAGAGGAACCCTTCTGCACTGCTGGTAGGCATGTAGACTGGTGCAAACATTATGGAAATCAGGGTGAAAACTCTAAAAATCTAGGACTGGAAATCCCATTCAAGCCAGCTATCACCCTACTAGGAATTATCCCAGAGGAACTGAAAGCATCATATCATAGTGATATAGGTGCACCTATGTTAATAGTAGCTCAATTTGTGATAGCCAAATCCTGGAAACAAGCAAGATGCCCATCACCAGAGTAATGGATGAAAAAGATGTGTATTTTTATATAATGGAGTTATTACTCAGCTATAAAGAATGATAAACTCAAAGCCTTCATATTTAAGTGGATTCCACTTGAATATATATTCATAAGTGAAATAAACCAGACCCACAGTGTAAATATCATATAGTCTTCCTAATATAAGCACTCAAAAGAAGAAATACAGATAGAAAGGTATAACACATTTAAAAGGAACATGAGAACTTGAGGATTAGACAATGGAGAGGGCAAGGAGAAAAGATAGGAAACATGACAGGGGCAAAGCTGGGTAAGACAATGATCCTGGGAACTATCAGCAGGTTGTTGAAATTAGCAGTTACTTGGTAGGATTCTCACCTTAACTAACTATATATGCTGATAACTGTGAACTGAGTGAGTGCACTAACGATAGCAATGTGTAATAGCAGGGTCATACTTGGAATGCCTGTCACTCTGGTCTTATAAATGCGTACTTCTTTTCATGACATATCAAGTAAATGTCTCTCAAGTATGTTTTTTTTCAAAGGGTTAATAAATGAAAAAAAAACAACAAAGACAAGAAAAAAAATGTCACAGGACTGTCTTGCTACAATGATGTATATAATTAGATTTCTAAATTTCTGTGTAAAAATATGTAATTGTTTATTCATATTTTTTAATATTTTTTATTTTTAATTCTTTTTCCATATTATGTAGAGACTGAAAGTTGTACATATCAATACTTGATGGAAAATACATGTTCCACTTATGCCTAAGATCTTTGATATTCAGACAGAGAGTAAGGTTAACCCCAACTGCATGTGTTGTAGGGTAATAATGAGCTTCTCTTCTGGAGAGTTAACAACCTAAGTTTAAAGACCAAAAATTAGAGAAAAAGAAGGGCTGCAAGGACAGCCAACATTTTGGCAAAAGCTTCTCAAGGTCAGTGAGGACTCAGGACATAGGAGAACCTATACTGTAACATCGTTTAACTCATTTGTGTCCCAATTTTCTGATCAATGAGATTATGGGGCCACAGAGGAATGTAATCAATGACGTAGAGTGTGCCTAAGGAGTCACATGGAGAGAAAATACTGTCTCAGGCTTTCACAGACAGAAAATTTGTCAAGCAATGGCTGTGACACATCCACATAGCTTACACTGACAAAGGATCGACAAACTGCGGTGCAAATTTTGAGATAAGTCCTGAGGGGATATTAATGACCTTGTCAGATACAAAAGTTACATATATTGTATATAAGTCTTGCTTTATTTTGGTGTTAACCATTCAGTAGAAAAGTGTAGAAATGAGATATGAAAAGTGAAGCCACGTTAATACGCTGAGCTGTGGAAGGCTCAAATTAACAGATTTGGACATTGCTAGTCCTATGGAAAATTCACTACTATTAGGGACTACTGGACCATATTGGAATATTTTGCTGAATTCACACACCTACAATATTTAAATGACAATGGAATAATCTTTTCTGACCAAACTAAACAAAAAAGTGGATACAAGTGAATGACCACTTTTGTATCTATATATTGAAATTAAGGTAGATATACAGCTACTTTCTCTTAATTCAATGAATAGAAAGATTTGTTCCAGTAATGTTTATGGATAGGATATCATGTCTGCATCTTGTACAATGAATAACCACTTAGACAACGATATGCAATGTAACAATTATTGACACTGTTCTTCTAATAGGTTTAGAAACTGTCTCATTGCTATTTGTTTCTTAATAAAATTATCAAAAAATAAAGTTAAATTTAAAAATAATTATTGTAACTGTCTAACTAACCTGTTTTGAAACTGTTGCATTGACATTTTATCTTTTTTCTTATTAAAATGAATAAAATTTTTTAAAAAATATAAAGAAACCAATCACATAAAGAGTACCAATGCTAAAATACCATAATTGGTATATATTTCCCTAATTATCCTTTCAAGGATCCTAGATTACCTCTGATCCCAGTAATAAAGACCTCTGTTAGGTGCTTCTCACTCTCAGGACTGGAGATCTCACTATCTCTCAAGGAATGGCTTCTTATTGCAAGAAATTTATAACCAACCTGTGGCCTTATTGTTAAATATCCCTTCAACATCCACATGGCAAGTAAAGGAGAACAGAAGATAGAAAGAGAGAAAGCATTGTCTTTGAAATATTTATCATAATATCCTCTCCACTTGAGTCTGGATCCCACTCATACTATAACATTTAAAAAATTAAAGCTGGATAAGAGAAATAGAGACAGAGACAGATGGACAGATGGACAGACAGATACAGACAGAGAGCATGTAATGGAAAAAATTAAAGAATTGTTGAAGGAAGTTGAACCATGTTAAAATGCACAAGTAGGATGGAAGAACAGAATGAGATATAATACTTTCCAATCTTGAAGTTTTGATGGTTCAATAAGTTTGAACTATGAACCAATGAGATCTGCTATACTCATCTCAGACTTCAAATATCTTAGAATTAAATGTGCATGCTATGAAATCTTACTGTTTTTGTTTTTGTTTTTGTTTTTGTTGTTGTTGTTGTTGTTGTTGTTGTTGTTGTTGCAGAACCAGGGATTGAACTCAGGCCCTTGAGCTTGCCAGGGAAGCCCTTATTCCACTGAGCCATCTCCCTGGCTCTTACTGATTTTTTAACAACACAACGTGCTTCACCTTTATAGACGATTCATAAAAAATAGAATGTTTTACGCCAAGAAATGAAAAGCCAATTGAAAATTACCAGTACTAGAAAGTAATATTACAATTTCTGTTTCAATATATACATATTGTGATCTGACAATATATCTATTGGCAGCCAACATAGCAGCAAGATTAGCACATGTTCAAAAACATATATTACAAGATTGTTTGTAAGGAGAAAAATTGAAAACAATTGGAAATAAAAGGAAAACCATTTTATAAAATACAGTACTTATATATTGTGAATGTAGTCTTAGGCAGTTGCTTTGCCACATGATGTAGATCTACCTGAAGGATTATGCATAACAATTTGCTTATTGACAAAAGCCAATCTAGAAATATTATTTATGATATAATCCCAATATTATAAAAACAAGTAGAAAGACATCATAAAGCTGTTCTTTTAATCAGTAGAGAGTAATATCTTGCTTCATAAACCTTTAGTTTGCAAATAATTTGTTTCAAGCAGAAGTGTTTGGTAACACTTTGTTTTTGTTTGCAAACTCTGCACTGTGATAGTCATGCCCTCAGCCATCTTTCACACACACACAATGTAGCCATCTTTTACAAACTTGTAGAACAAATAAAACCCATGAACCAAAGTGTCACTGGATAAGTTGGGATATCTTTGTACAAAAATGGAGGATCTCGAAAATGATCATTATCATTTAATGATCCTGTCACAGGAATGTGACTAGACAGGGGGCAATGTGCTATGACTGACTTTCTTTTTTCATTTTTATATGCTTTCCTTGATACAAAAAGAAATAATGTTTCCAGTGAAATAAAAAGGAAATGTTTACTTTCTAAGCCTAAAACAAATTAATGGAAGAACACAATTTTTTAGCATCCAGCATGTGAAAATACACCAAGTGCAGGTGTTGCCATGGCAGGGCAGAAAGAGGAAGGCAGGCTCCAGCATTCTCTATGCCTCCAATGTTCTTTTCCAGACAGCATTAAACAGTCCTGCACACCTCATATGGATGAGCCAAGTTTATGTTATTTATACTCAGAATAAACCTAAAATGACTGAATTCTACTAATCAGTGGGAGTCCCATCACTTAGAGCAATTCAGAGTCCCTTTCCTTATTCTTACAAAAACCTGAGGAGTCTAACAAGCTGGCTACATATCTCCCTGCATTTTCTCTAAATAAGCTAATTACAGAAACTTGAGACATATTTTCCAACTATTTTGGTTCCTGTGATACCCAAGGATTTGTGTCAATGTCACTTCTAAATGCAGGACAACATCTCACACAATATATTGTAATATAATATTACACCAACTTGTAATGGAAATGAATATATTTCTAGCATTGAAAAAAGAAGATGTTATAGAAGAAAAAGAGCACAAAAGAGGTAGTCAGTGAATTCTGTTGAAGAGTGATCTTAGACACTAAGAACAAGTGATGTTTCCTGAACACAGATGGCAGGGAGATAGAAGGAGATATTTGTTGAGAAAGGGAATATAACTTACTGTTCAATCAGAGGGAGAGCAAAATGGAGAGTGTAGGTGAGCTGAGCCTAAGTACTAGGGAATACTCATGACATTAGCTGAAATGAGACTGCAGCAAAAAGGAAAACTTAGAGACAGGGATTGTGTGTGTGAGTGTGTGTAAGTGTGTGTGTGTACGTGTGTGTGTGTGTAAGTAAACATTGTACATGGCAGAACAAATTGTACATGCTCATTAGATATTTAAGTGACAATATGAATTAGCAGTAAAATGCATAAGGTTGGAATTCAGGATAGAGTTAGGCTTTAAGGGCTTATAACTGTGAAGTTAACTGATGATAACCTCTAAGTCCATGGACCTCAACACAGTCTCATAGGAAAAGATTGTAGGTATAGATCAGCAGACTATGGGGCAGATAGAAGAGCAGGTCTAAATCCAAAATGGGAAAAAAACAGTAAAACTTCAGTAAGACAAAATGAGAAGAGCATTCAATAAAGTAAAGTAACATTAAAGAGGGACAAAGAAAGGAAAACTTTTACTAGTTGACTGCTGACAGAAGGCAAGAGGCACCAGAGGCAAATTTGTAGATTTGTTGAGAGAGTTTGAAGCTGAAAATTTTACCCCCCCAAGAAGTTTGAGGCAAAAGCACCATTTAAGAGTGGATGCTTGGCTTAAAGAAGCAATATGCAAAAAACAGGGAATGTAAAGAAAAAGACCATTCTTTGGTAAGCACACACATCAGAGAAGCATACAAGAAATGAAATATAGTGAGAAATGGACATCAGAGACTAGACCCATGAATTAAAAAGTACTGTATGCTGCTTATACATCAAAAGATAATTGCACAACATGTGGGCATTATTCAATAGTCCTTTCTGCAAGTCTAATATTGGCTAGTAAATGCTAGGTGGATGATTTTAATTCTCTTTTAAATTTATTTTATTTTATTTATTTATTTATTTATTTATTTATTTATTTATTTATTTGGCAAAACAGGGGATTGAACTCAGATCCTTGTGCTTGCCAGGGAAATGCTTATTCAATGAGCCATCTCTCCCACCCCAATTTTAATTCTTTATATTTCACAACAAAAGATAAGGAATGGAAGTTGTGTGTAGTTTTCCACTAGAAAAATGCTTCTAGTGTTGAATGATCTTCTCCAATGCCACGTAGAGACATATGAAAAAATATGATCCAGAGAAAATTGGTCAGAACAAAGATAAGGTAGAGATGAAGAAATTATGTCTTAAGGAGAATAAGAAATAAAGAAAAACAAAACAAGATCTCAAAGGTACCCCACCCCCTGTTGTTCAATGATGTAGTCATAGACTGAGATGGAATAGAAGGAAGATGCTTAAGGAATGAGAAATTCAATGCATTGAGAGGCTAGCATGTTGTCACTGTTGTATTTAATTGTAGGCGGTGTAGTGTTTTCAGAGAACAGTTTGATCAGAACATGGAATGATGGGAATATTTCAGTTGTAAAGAAATTGGAAGATGACACACTTGAAATTCAGGCAAGGCACCATGGAATACACTGTGTGAGGTGGGGAAAGATACAGTAATAAAATGAGAAACACTTGTTTGGTGAAGCTACATTTTAGAAGTTTAGGACTCCTGTAAAAGAAACTTAATGTGAAATTATGGAGAAGCCAGTTCCCCAACTTTCCCCCAGTTCCTTGTGATGAAGCAGAAAACACCAACAACAAATAAATGTGTCTGCAGTAGGATTGTTATGATATGAGGCTTAAAAAAAAATGCCACTCTCTGTTACTTCCATTTTACATAATCTTGTGTCATTCTCACATGCTCCTTGCACTCTGGCTTTGACAGAGTTGTTTAGCATCTTAGAGACACAGTATTTCCCCATCAGTATTTACGCTGACTAAGTGATCTCTACAATCTTCTTTGAAGGAAGGCTAATCACCTTTCATGGTTTAACCTAAACATAACTTCCTTTATTCATTTATGGATAAAAATAAAGAAGAGTAAAATTTTAAGCATTCACTGCTCTTTTCAAAAAAAGAAAAAAGAAAGAAACCAGCAGTACAGTTACCAAATATCCTTCATATAAACATAAATATATTTTTCTCTTCTTTCCTTTGTCGCTTTTCTCCTCCCAGTTTTTTAACCAATGTTGCACATTCATACCTGATAACCTAAATAACTAATTTGACTTCTAATAATTTTTTCACAATTTTGTATTTTTTAAAAATAAAATAAAATAAAATAAAAGAGGGATCAACTAGACTTAGATTTCCAAATCTGATCATACTGTACTAGAAGGTTTCGCACTTGTATTTAATTTTTTTTCTAGGCTCAGCTTACACGTTCGAATTAAATGAGCATCATAATGCTCCACAGCAATTTTCTTTTGAGGATGAAATATCACATATGAAAAGCTTAACAGAATGGTAGCAGATTTTAACTGATTTATATAACTAAAGTTTGACATTCCACCCAGCTGACTGACTCAAGAATAGAGATATACACAAGGAAATAATAGATCACCTGCACATGTGATATGAGCCTCGTCCTTTGGAAGGCAAGACCTGGAGTTCCAAGGGTCAGAAGGACACTGCCAGAGAGAAACATCAGTTTTCTGACACTGGATTCCATCCACCCAATGGGGTCTAGAGCCTTCTCTGGTAGAAACAGAAGGGTTGAGGGTCCCGCTGTCCCCACAACCAAGATGTCTACAGATCACTGACAAGGTCATGTCTTCCATGGGGCTGCGGCAAACACTTCCCCAGGTCCCATTGTAGAAAACCTCCAGCCAACCAGCACACTCCTGGTCCTCGCTCACCACTCTGAGGGCCAGGAACTCTGCAGAAAGCAGAAAGGACACAGTGAGGAGTCAATACTTAGTGCTCTACTTTTTCTTTAAACCTAAGTGGTGAATGTTTATTGCTATTCTGCTTACAAAGTTCTCACTCTGTGGAAAGACTGAAACTTCTATCTTGTTACCCATTTGCAAACTTCTACAGATGGCTCAGTAGAATAAGCACTTGCCTGGCAAGCTCAAGGGCCTGAGTTCAATCCCTGGTTCGGCAAAAAAAAAAAAAAAAAAACCTTCAACCTGTCTTCCTTTTTCTGCTAGAATGAGTCATGGACAATGAGTAGGAACCTGAACCTAGGTGATCTGAAGTGAGGAAAGTTAAATTTTATTTAATTAATTAACATCACACAGACCATGTGAAAAAGAAAGTAGATGGTCACCAGAGAGCAAGCAGAATGGTGGAGCCTGCAATTTTTGCGCTTTCTGATCCTTGTAGCCTATCGATGTTGCCTTACACAACAAAAAGGCTCTGCAACCAGGATTAAATTAGGGATCTTTTGGTGGGCGAGATAGCTCAGTGACCTAAGCAACTGTCTGACAAGTGCAAGGTCCCAAATTTGATCCCCAGTACCACATTCCATGCTAGCCATGAAACTGAGAGTGGTGGATCATGCCTGTAATTCCAGAACAAGAGAGGTTGAGACAGGAAGATCATTATGAGTCCCACCTGTATAGCTAGACCCTGTATCAAGATTAATAATAATAATAATAATAATAATAATAATAATAAGGATCTTTTCATAGCACAGTTATGTTGGATTTTATAGAATTACCCAGGTGGGCCTTAACAAATCATCTCATTCAAACTAATCATCTCAGGGTTGGCCAATAGCTCAGCAGGTTAAAGCATCCATTTAGCAGATGCAGAGACAGGGATTCGATTCCCGGCATGCAGAGCCCACTCTGCTCCCAGAGCTCACTGAGAGGACAATAGAGACTGGGCATGGTGGTGTGTGCCTAAAATCCCAATGTTTGAGAGGCTGAATACAGGAGGATCACTATGAGTCCAATCTGTGTAGTGAGATCTTGTAGGCCCTGTAAAAAAAAAAAAAAAAAAAAAAACACTAAGCATCTGATTAGAACTGTGTTCTGAAAAAAGATCACCTTCCCAGGTCTGTCAGAAGGAGATGTGACCATGGACATATGGCTCTCCATTTGCAATATATTTGGTTTGAAGATGGAAGGAATCAAGATTTAAGGAATGGCAACAACTTTTAGAATCTGGAAAAGGGAGGAAACTACCCTTTGTAAGCTGTAAGAAGAATGTAGTCTTACTGACACCTTGCTATGAATCTAAGCTGGTAAAACTGGACATCTACAAGACTATAAGATAATCAATTCTGTTGTTTGAAGCCACTGATGGGTGTTAATATATTATAGCACCAATAGGAAAGAAAGAGTGTGGGACTTTGGGATTCACACCCAGAGGTAACTGAGGGGTGAGTCGTGTGTTCAGGTGGGCTCTGTAGAAAATGAGAGTATTGAGAGAGCTGAGAAGGAAGGAGCAGAACTTCAGCTGATGCAGGAGGAAGTCAGGACTCTCATCTTCTGCTCTCCTACAAAAACAGGCCCTGGAAGGAGCCTCCGCTCTTTCAGCTCTTTAGGCAACAGTTCCAACATAACCATAGGGCTCAGACAGCACCCTGGAGACCCTCCCTCTCCATCCAAGACAGGACTGTGTGAGCACAGACCTGAGCAGATGACCCCTGCATCCTCCTTGTGCCTGCAGTTGTGCTGTCCCCAGCCCTGGGAAGGGCACTTCCACACGTGGGACTCCTTTCCTGTGCATTTCAGCTCATCCAGCCAGATGTCCCCTGATCCCTGCCCAAAATGAGCAGACACCGTGGCATTGAGGGCCACTCCGCAGCCCAGCTGTCTGCACACCACGTGGGCATCGCTCAGGTCCCAGCTGTCATCACAGATGGTGCCCCAGGATCCCTGGTGCAGGATCTCCACTCTCCCTGCGCAGCGACTGCCCCCATCCATAAGGCGTAGCTGTCTGCTGTCTGAGGAGAGACAGAGTCAGGTCAGTGATGCTGACATGGAAAGGAGCAGGCTCTGTCCTGGGGATGTCCTCACCTTTGGAGTTTGTAATCAGGTTATTTGAGGCAGCAGAGCCTTCTGGGTCAGAGAGAGAGTCATTGCCCTGGGGTAGCAGCTGGGTCTGGTTTCCTGCAGAGAAGGTGAGAGAACAAAACTCTGAGTTACACAAATGACGCTCTAGTGCTGGCATCTGGGATGGCATCCATGATATAGGAGCAATTATTTCCTGTCTTCAGAGCTCATTTTCTGAATAGAAATTTCTGTTTCTGCCTATGTCTGTTTTAAGGTTAAATGATCCTATCAGCCATCTCTTTTTACTATTCATTCAGAAATGTTTTATTATTTGCAGAATTAAGGCTTCTGCTAAATAGTATGCAGAAATACATAAAGCAAGTAAAGACCAACATAGTTAGTAAGAGGTAGAAAATACATAGTTAGTAGAGGTAGAAAATATAACACACTAATATTGGCAAATGTGATTTTGAAATGATTATAAAATTATTGCAACATTTTGTAGATCTCATATCCATTAGGATAAAATACATGAAAAATAAATTTGAAAACACATCAAAGAGAACTTTTATTCCTAGTACAATACTGTACAAATAATGGTAACACCAGAAACATAAAAGTGTCAATCATGAAGGCCCATGTTGCAATCCTAGGATTCCGGGGGCTGTAATATTAGGATTATAGTGAGTTTGAGGCCAGCCTAGGCTACATGCTAAGTTCAAGGCCAGCATGAACTATATAGTGAGACTTTGTCTCAAAAATAAATAAATACTTAGTAAAAATTGTCTAAAAGTCCTGATAGTAATTAAAAATCTAACCTATAAATAATCTCCAAATTCATATGTAAGGTACATCTAATCTCATTCAAAATACTACTTTCATTTTTGGTGTTAACTATGACAAGATGATGCTAAATGGTATGCAGAAATACATAAAACAAGTAAAGACCAACATAGTAAGAAAAGCAGTACAATTAGAGTAAGAAAAGCAACACAATTAGTTTTCTTACAATTAGTAAGAAAAGCAACACATACTTAGTAAGAAAAGCAACACAAAAATTCACTGAAGTTGCTCATATGTACTATAATGTTAAGGCAATGGAAAAGGCACGATATTGGTTCAAGGATCAACAGATGACAGAGTGACACAGAACAGACTATAGGAACAAACTCAGACACAGTGGAACTCAGTTTATGACACAGGTGGCCTTAGTGTGGGGAGAAGAATCTCTACAGGGAAGGATTCTGAGTAAATTGGATGCAAAAAAATGACATACAACTTTTCCTCAAACCAATACATAATACCCAATATAATTCCCAGAAAGGCTGAAAAAGAAGAAAATTAATATATACCTTAGTGTGCTTAAGATAGCTTTTGAGAATATGTCTGCCATTTTGGGCCAGTTTTCTTCAATGCAAAGAAAGTGCACTCAGTGTATAGGTAGCAGTTCAAAAATTGTGTTGAAATTTAAATTAAGAATTAGAGTTGCATATGGTAGTGCACATTTAAGCCCTAGCCATCAGGAGGATAAAGCAGATTAATTGCAAGTTAAACCCCAACATAAGCTACTAAGTGAGGTCAAAGCTAGTTTGGACTACACAGTAAAAACATATCTCAGAGAATATGCAACTAACTGTATTCAACAAAGGTCAAGGCCCAGGCAATTTATATCACTATTGTTTGTAACACTTATAATCCACAAGCTACTCAGATCTCTGCCATCAGTTGATAGGATAAGTTCATGCACATGTGCACACTCTTGAATATCCAACAAGAGTGAAGTTCTGCTGCAAACAAGAGAATAGGTAAATTCCAAAACATAGGTGAATTTCACATATGAATTCATTCAATGAAATTAGAAACAAAAGAAAAATCTAATGGATCATTTTGCATAAACATCAAATCTGACCAAAATATTTCTGGTTAGCAGGTTATAAAATGGCTCCCTGTGCAGAAAAGGAGAGCATTGCATGTCTGGTGGGATGTTCAGTTGAATTCTGGGAGTTACTAACATTGTTTGCTGATCTACACTGACATGCTTAACAGTATCACATACACTCTTACACATTATTCTTAAGAACTATATGGCCCAGTGTGTTGGTTGACACCTATAAGTGCAGCACTCAAGAAGCTGAGGCACAAGAATCCCCATGAGTTTGAGGCCAGCCTGAACTACATAGACCTGGTCTCAAAAAATTAGTAAATAAATAACAGTGTCTAAGAATGCCTTTAAAAATCTTTTCACTAACAGTCCTTTATCTGACCTGAAAGAGGAATAACCATAATTAACTATAGAACATTTCACTTTGGAGTCAGTTCTCCCTGCTTTCTGCCGTGAGACCTGTTACTCCAAGAGAATCTCAAGACCCATTCACCCTGACTGCTCTCTCACCTGAGCAGACCACTGAGGCCGTGTTCCCATGAGCACAGGGAGGAACACCGAGGGCCATCACAGGGCAATTCCACAAGAAGGACTCAGTCCCTGAACAGTGGAAGGTGTCTCTCCTGAGCTCACCACCTCCTTCCACAAAGTATGCTCCTCCTTTTGGGGTGGAGATGGCAACTCCACAGCCCAGCTGGCGGCACACAACATCTGCATTGGCCATACTCCAGTGAGAGGCACAGAGCATTCTCCAGCCCACAGAGGTGTTCAGCTCCACCTGGCCCTCACACTGAGAGGTGCTGTTTTTCATGAGCCGGACTTCAGTGAATTCTGGGAGGACAAAACAGGTTTTCAGCAACATTTTTTATTCTTCTTACTTACAGGCTTTCCAGAGAGGTTAAAGCCTACCTCTTAATCTCACCTGAACAAACAATTTCAACAGCTCCACCATGTTGGCAGCTTCCTCCAGGACAAGGTGCTCTGGGGCAGAGCCAGAGCTCAGGCTCTTGCCCCTCACACTGGAACTTTTCACCCCACACCTGCGGAATGACCTCTCTAAAAGGCACATCCCTCATGACAGACACAGCTTTGCCACACTCCAGTTCTGCACAGATGACTTGGGCAGTGACAAATGTGAAGTTCCTATCAAACACTGGAATCCAGTCTCCTCCAGGATTCACTTCCACTCGGCCTGAGCAGGGTCCTCCTCCTCCAGCCAGGCGCACAAATCCTAGGGAATTTCCACAAGCAAATAAGTGTCTTGGTTTGGAAATAGAATCTAACACTTCAGAAGCAATGAATTAAAAGCTTTTCTTTGATTTGCTTCCAAGGATTCAGTGTGAGAAAATTCAACATTTGTTGTAAGAATGAAACCTCCATAAATGCATACTTGAAGCAAATTTAGAAGATATTTGTAGAGCCAGTTCAGAATGACTGAATGCTATTGTATGATACAATAGTTCTTATCATGTCTTATCATGTCTTGACATTGATAAGAACATGTTATCCTGTGACTTAAAAGGATGAATTTCTGTGTGTCCCTCAGTATTTCTTCATAATTTAAATTTACATACCAAAAAGATATATGAAATGGAGTAACACTGAAGGAGAAGGTGATTTATTGTGACTAAAATGATGAGACTTTTAGACCATACTTTCTATTACTGAAGATAAAAAGAAAATTTAGAACCTGGATCAGAAGTGTTCAAAACATGTTTATCTTCTTTTTCTGATTTGTTTGTCTTGTTTGTAAGGAATATTTTGTTATCAATGAGTAGTTTGAGAAATTATGAGACAGCTCATGAAGATGACTAAGAGGGAATTTCCAATATGATCTCAGAGATCTAGGGAACAAGCTGGTTACAGAAATTTCGTGTAACAACATTTATACTAAAGAAGTTTGTTGTGAGGTTGGAACTCACAGTGTTGCACCTGTTAGGCTACTGCTTACAATTAAGGTTGGCCCAGTCCTAACAAAAAGTTCACCAGAGATTTCCTTTATTTT